ACACACACACACACAACATAATTATTTTAGGGCTACAAAGTGATGTGACTGATAACTGTGTATATATTGCATAACATGGCAGATGAGAAATATAGTGCAACTAAATTATGATGAAGAGGATCCAGCCAGGAAGAGGAAGGGCGAACCAACCGGGAGCGAGCAGCTAGTGGCAAGGGTTGAACAACCGAGTCTGGCGTGTTCCGAGCAAGTCGACTCCGACGATCATCCAGATGAGTGTTTGAGCGACAACCAGACAAACTCTGTAATGACCCGAGGCCCTTGCGGGAATTCTCGGCAGCGACCCAGGGCACCTGAAGACGAAAAGCTGGAATGATAATTCACCCGCAGGAGCAACTCTTGGCAGTGACTTGAAGGGACCCACCCAACTATTTTCACTTCTGGCAGGTGCCCGAGGCATGGCCATTTTAAGATTGGTCGGTGCCCGCAAGACGTTGAATCCAGCACCTGGATTCGACGACCAAGCAGATGAAGAACTTCGCCACAGCTTCGGGAGGGTGACAAGACCCGGAAAATAAGTTTACAGAAACTGAGTAGGATTCAAGTTCATTTGCACATTTGTATATATTCTTACCGATTTCTAAATATACTTTCTTTAATCCTACAACGGTCCAGCAAACTCGTTTTTTTTCATTTGATACGGTGACTAGAAGACATTGTTTATGTTGAGAGACTGCGTCATGACTGTGAAGGCCTAGGTAAGGCCTAGGTTGGTTGAAATATTCAAACAAGGTTGAACTCTTTGAGGAGGTATTGAGTCAACCCGCATTATTCTAGAAACAAATTTTGAGTTGCAGATTATGTGATACTTTACAAGTGCATGACAAAGCTTCAATATGTGTCCCTAAAGTGTGACTATCTTATATTTCGCATATAACCGTGTTAAGGTCCTTCGCAAGCGAACCTGTGCGACTCCGCGGTACTCCTGCCAGTCAAATTTGGTGTTGCAGTCTCCCGCGGTATGGAACCCTTCAGATATGTCTCGGAGTTGAGCGAGGTTGGCTGCTATCATAGGCAGTTTCCCGGATGTGCGCTACTCGCTGCCCAGCACCAGTCTAAACAACTGTTTTTGTGGGACTGGTTCAGCTGGTCTGGCATTGTACGTACCTTTCGAACACGACTTTTAACGTTATAAATGCAAACAAGTCTATCGTCTTTTCTCCAGCTAGGCTTAAAGGCTTCCCTAGTTCGGCGTACAATACAAACAGTATCGCCTACATCAAACTGGCACTGGCATTCTTGAGTACGGCGTCTTTCATTGCACGGAGATGCTCAAGACTATAAAAACACAATGACATGAACTGGAAACCACAAACCTTTGGAAGTGTGCGAGATAAAACCCGCGCGAACATCAGCGTAAACACGTCCGTCCGCGTCGTCTCGGCCGTGCAATCGCATCTTTGGACCTAATTTAACGCTAGCGAAACGAGTTTTGTTCCTAATTAAAAGCATTGCCAACTATTTTAACCATTATTACACCCCGCGCAAGTGCCTATTACAGCAAATTTGTAACTAAAACAAAACATAAATAGAAAGGGGGTGCTGCCGCTAAAGGAAACAGCCAGTGACGTCATAGTCACCTGGACCAATAGGAGCTGACATGCTTTTGTTTTGTTTCTTTTTGTTTTTTCCTTAGCTCCACCCCCCTGTAATGGGTAGGATTTCAAAATACGCGCACGGGCATTAGTTGATCGAGACCCACACGAAGCGCGAGTGCGATACCTCCTAGCCGCTGTCGACAGAGGGTGTCGGAGCGATTCGTTGTCGCTCACGGAAAGTGGGCGTTGTGTTCAATAAAGACAGCATGCCAGTGTTTGTAAAGCTATCACTTTTTTATAAACGCTTCTGATGCGATGAAAATCCGACCGGCATTAAGCAGGCCTAGCGAGACTCCGGCGACAATCTTGGCAGCTCAGCCTCCAGCGGTTTCGGCCTTACTCGTATTACTTGCAGTGCTGGCGCTTTGACATAGAGATCTTTGGAAAGTTTTTGCGCCTACAGTAGACACCAAATGCGCGTGTGAGCCGTATGCTCTCGCTCCGGCGAGAAGCCGCGTACGGATCGCCAAGCCTTTTAATCGTATCGCCTGTCGCATACTGGCCGCCATATTGTTTTTAGGGCGTTAGCAGTTACTCGATTTTATTCACCTCCGGCGGCTAAAACCCTTACACGAATAAAGGCGATAGCCAGAAGAGGAACCATTTACACGAATAAGGGTATTAAATATTTAACTGTGTGGTAAATACGCCAAAAACGCAGGGAGAAAGAAAGAAGCCTTGGTAGATCTGATCTAGTTTGACACATGGTGGAAAAAACCTCGAGACCGTGGGTAAACGACACAACACTGAAAACTCTCAAGAGACTTTTTAGTGTTCTGTCGTTTACCTGCAGTCTCGGGATTTTTTCAACCATCTGCAATGTACACCAGCTCGTTTGCGCCCTTAAATTGTGTGCACTAGTTTGACACCTCGTCGCAACTTTGTTGTATATCTAAGGCCGTGGAGTAATCGTGGTCGTTACGAATAAGCATATAGTACATATAGAGACAACTACTGCATTTACAATCGGGCAGAGCCGTATATGTAGAGAGTTTGGCCATTCGTTGGGAAGTATAGGAGACAAATGAGGAGGCGCATTGGCCGAAAGCGGGCTGGGCGTGTCCCAGGGCGTCTTTACAAATTGGAATGTGGCCATCTAGAAGCCGGAAAGAATACCGTGGCGGTGGTCGCGAAAAGCAAGCCTAATAAGTCCGCCAGAGTAACTCTCGGTGACTGAAAATATGGTGCACGTGATGTTTCAATCACGGTCATTAAAAAATCCCGGTGGAAGAGTGCTGCTAGCGGAACGATCGACATAATCCGTACGCCAAGCGCCGAGGGACGGGAATCTGCCGTCCAAGTGGCCGTCCATGTGGTCGCACTCTGTCCGAGCAAAACAGAGTCGAGCGGCACATTTCTTTCTTACATCTTTCTGCATGATCATGATCGAAACATCACAAGCTCTCTATTCTCAACCATGGAGGGCTACCACTTTTACGTGCTTATTAACACCATATACCAATATATACATTTGATTGAAACAGTTTCTCCCTATACCACCGCCAGGATATTCTTTTATGCTTCTTGTTGGCCAAGAGAGCATGTCAAGCCCACTTTCTACGTCTCTTGCACGCCCTGGCTCTGCCCGCGCCTTCCATTGACCAAACTTTCTGTATACATGACTCGTAATCAGGGTAATTCCGGTATTGGCAGACTGCAGCGTTCGGCTGGCTCGCTTGCTCGCGTCGGTCAGTTTGAACTTGCTTCTACCTCATTGTTTTGCGTACCTACTCTTGGACTCTATAAAAACGCCCCTCCCCCCCCCCCCCCCCCCCCCTCCAAACATCACGACACGTCATTTTTTCTAAGGTGTACAAAAACTGGCTGCGAAAACCACAATTGTTGGTTGTCTATGAATTGCAGTAGCATTCGTCATGAGGCTCACGACGCAGCTCACTGTGAATACAACAATGCGAATTTTGACTGAACACTTTATTTTACGGCTGGATTAGGATTGAATCATTGCGTCAGCGTGACTGCAGTGCGCAACTTGGAAATTGAGCGATTGCTTCGCCTTTGTGTAAATGTTGTGGGCACCCTGGCTGCTTCCCAGCCCAGTAGCCCGACTGGGGGGCAAAGGTGCCGAACTTCTCTCGCGTGCGGTAACGTCACGCAAGCCATGCGCGCATCGGATGCGCCGCCTTGATAAGGCAGATCACAGACAGCGCACGGGGAATCGCTGCCTTGACTCAGGCGCCGCTGGTAACCATGTTAATCGTCTCGTCCATGTCCCATTAGATGTAGTTGCTTGTTGTTGAAACCGTTGGCTCTGTGTTATTCCTCCGGGTAGGGTATGCAGCAAGGCAAACCGACCACAAGGTTTAAGCTTTCGTCTCTGTGTGATCGCTTAATGATCAAGCTGTTTGCCGACCATCATTGCAACCTCGTGTGTCTTTCTTGTCCTGTCTATCTGTAATCCTTTAATGTTCAATCTAGTGCCACCAAAAACTACGCTTCAGAGTAACGGCACTTGTCCATATTGTGGCTTAAAATCATGGCTGCCAATTTTCTGAAGCTTTGTCTGAAATTTCAGAAAACGTATTTCTGCCCTCCTCAAATGTTTTAACAGCTCGTGACAGAGCAAAGAAATATTACAGGAGCTTCCTCACACCGAATGTAATGCTAAGGAAGCCGCACTTTTCAATCAAGAAAATCGGCAGTTGCGTCTGCTGTGCACAAGCACCAAGATGGTGGCGGCCTCATCAATGCAGGGGTAGAGTGGTCGGGGAAGGGAGTGCCGATACTCTAAGCGCAGCTCATTTAGTGGCTCTAGTTTAAGCTCTTTTACCACCATCGTCCACCATGCACCAGCTAGCTCAACTCAAACCGATAATTGCCTCTTAGTTTGGGTGAAAATGTGAATGTGTGCGTACTGCCGCTTGTCTAGTGCTTGTCGTCCTCGACGTTGTCCTGTAGAACGATGTCCAGGAAGACGTCGTGGAGAACCTCTAGGGCGATCTCAAGGACGATGTCTGAAACGACCTCTGGGACGACCTCTGGGCCGATCTCAAGGACGACCTCGAGGACAATCTGAAGGACGACCTCTAGGACGACCTGTAGAATGACGCGCAGCGCCTGCTAATACGGATGTGCTGCCTATCCGGAAAGCGGCGCCGCCACGAGGCGCCTCCGCATATGGGCGGCGCACGCGCGCGCCGCTCATAGGCACAGCGCTTTCTAGATCAAAGAGCGTATCGCGAAAACCGGATGACGTAGCTACAGAATGCTATCACATTAAAAATAATGCATGACATGATAATTTTCACCACGTTTTGTAAGAAATTGTAAGAAAATCTTTATTGACTACAGTTCTGTTTTTTATCATATTACAAAAACCCAGTTTTTTGTTGAAGTATTTGGCATCGGCCTGGATACTTGACTGCTTCATGACTCGTAGACGCATTCTCCTCGGATGCATATCTGAAAAAAAAATGCATCGATTTAACTTGCACAACTTAATTATTGACATTCATGTTCACAATGACAGGCTTTAATTCTAAAAAGGACAGACAAAAGTAATGCTTAGCTTCTTACTTTTTTTGTTTGTGCATAATTTATATCCTCTCATGGGGGGGTTTGATCTTTGTATTTCATGTTCAATTTTTGCTGAATTATTCGATGCAGAACGAACCACACCTTTAATATAATATTGATATTTTTAGGCGTACTAAGACAACTCGGGGCATCGCTGGCTTTACGCCAATTGCGTGGTCCAAATCGTCTGCCTGCCGAAATATCCGCTAAATTTCTTAAGTTTAATTTGCTCCTACTATTACCATCGGCCAAGTCTTCCTCTAAGTCTGACCTACTGTCGTTCTTCCGGAAAATCCTACTTCCTTTTTGCCAATTATCGGGTTATGGCTTGGAATCGTTCTGAGCATACACTGTTTATAAAAGAAGCTCTAATGTGCTAATTCGAGCAGTCGCCCATAGGTTAATTGCTTACGCATGATGCGAATGCACCGTTTTAATGCTAAATTTATTTCAATGCGGGCGAAGTTAAGATTTCTGTCACGTCAGCGGATCCGTACCATATGCCGTTGTCTCCTAATTTTTGCGGGCTAGCAACTTGTCAATTTAAGGGGTTGACAGTTTCCTGATACATATCTATTTGGAGAGTATTCTTCTACTACGTTTTATATTTGTATTTCTGCGTCGCGGTACAATGTGTCAATCTCTATTTTGTATGTCTCCATTAAAATGCATATTCGGATGTATTCCTGGTATCACGATACTATGAATTTCCGACCGTTGCCCTATAAACAGATGCTCAAACACAGCCTAGGGTCTTAAACTAGACCTCCAAGCAGACCGCCTTACGCACGTTCAGCACTCGTTTCGTTTCGCTGCACTCCGAAAAAAAAGAAAAAATTAAAAATGAGTTAATTTAAGGCTCTGATATTCTCCGTTGTTGAGCTCAGCCACTACCATCTAGAACACAAGGCCTGCGCGTTTCCTCCTCTAAACGTCATCACTAGTAGATCCCCTCAGCGCCCCCTAGCTAGCCCGGATGAGCAACATCGTCTGCTACGTCGTCTGCTCCATCGCCTGCTTCAGTGGTTTGTGTAACAGATAATGAAACAGATGCTCACGCCGAGTGTCTCTTGCAAAGAGCATACGATGATGTTAGACTTTCACGTGGAGCGTCAAATGCATGAGCGAAATGGCCTTACTGCTGCGCGAAGGGCTGAAAAGCCCTTCGTTAGATGCTGAACGTTGACACTGGACGCCATTTTCGAGGGCGCTCTTATACCTCGGGTAGCTGCTTCGAAGCGTTCTACCGCAGAACGAGCGCGCGCGCTAGAAATGCGCGTCTCAAAGCCAGGAGCGCGCGCTAGCTCGCGCTCCTGGCCGAGGGAGCGTTCGCGTGCACGTCGCAAATGCACTGGAAGCTCGCTATCAGCTCGCGCTCAGCAGTCACGCACACAGCTGCGGCCGCAAGTGAATGCGACGTAGTTGCGACGCGGCCCCTACTCTCGTCAAGCTTCGGGGTGTTTGCCGCTTGGGGCGGGTCGGGGATCTACTAACGAAACGTCATGTGCAGGCCTTGTCTTCTAGGTGGTATTGGCTCAGCGCACGCAGCGTAGCGCAGATTGTAGACCTTTGATTAGCCGGCGAGCTAGAACTCGATATCTGTGGCCAATTAGTAGCTGTGTGCTCTGCGCTACGCAGTGTTTGCTACGCTCGACGTCGGAGTATAACAGAGCCTTTAGGAGACCTTATTCTAGAGCTCTGTTTGCTATAGAAGAAGCTCCTCCCGTCACTTCATAGTATGAATTAACCCCGCGCCCGCTGCTTTCCGGGGTGTACGTTCTGCTTAGAGAGTTTTAGCAGATCGTACGCAGTCGAGAGCGGGTCCAGGGGAGCTCTAGCGCTCGATCAACTATAATCTGTTCACGCGTAAGCGGAGACGAGAAGCTCCGCCTTCAGCATGAGCTCGCTGGCTTTCGCAGTTCTTTGGTTGCGCGGGCCTGCGCATTCATACTTGCTTTAGCAAGGGCATAAAGCTCACGCAGGAGGCGGACCTTCTAGCGCCAACTTGAGGGTGAACGGAATGTAAAATTCCGTAAAATAGAGATTTAGGAGATCGAACGCTGTGGAAAGCGGGCATGCTTCGACGAAAAGGCATGAGCTCCCGCGATAAGAGTGTGGTACCTCTATACTCCATACACCGTTAAGCTGAGACGGTAGGCAATGCCACAACCACGAGAGCTCGAGGTCGCTGCTTTGAAGCCTTCTTCCGGAGAAGGAACACTCGCGCTATAAATGCATGTATCAAAGCCAGGAGCGGGGTCTACCTCTCACTTGTACTTTCGGCTACAGTCTCAGCTTAATTGCGAACGGAGTATAGAACACAGTCTTCTAAAAGTACGTAATCTCAAGTTCGAGCTTCCGCCAAGCCTCGTTGGAACAGTCAGGGGTTATCCAGACGACCCCTTCCCGCTCTCAGCATCGACCACCGCACTGACGCGTCCGAATTCAACTAGCGTTGCCAGGTTAAATTCAGCAGTCGGTATTCGGAATATGGTGTCAGCTGTTTCTGGCTTCAGACTGTACGTTAATGTGTGAATTCATTCAGCTGACACTTCGTTGCCATGGTGGCGCTGACATTAGCAGACGAACTTAATGATCCGAAGGACACGGCGGGGTGGCGAGGTGAGGTGCGTGCAGAGTCTTTCGCCGAGCTTTTCAAGGGCGCAGCGTGAACAAAAATAGTTAAAAAAAATTACGTAACGCGGATGGCTGACTTTTTATCCTCTAATATCTTGACCAGTTTTACACAAGAAGAAAGAAAAAAACAACAAAAAAAAAACGTGTTTTTTTCTTGCAGAGAAAGGGTAAAAGCACAGGCGAGCTGGTGAAGAACTTCCATCGTAAACCGGAGACACGGAAAAATAAAAAAAACAGACAAAACAACAACAAGTCTCAAACACAGCTTCTAGTTTATTTGAACACCTCCGCTCTTATATATACACCACAACCCTCCTCTCCAAAGGTCGAAACACCTCCTCCCCACTCCATCAACGACAGCTCAAACTGAACCAATGACACATGCTACCTCCCTTCCTTTCATAACAACCAAAACTGACCCAGACGACCTCCTTTCAAGTCCATGATAACAGGCACTCAAACAACAAACCCTGCTAACGTTGAAAACATCCCCCCCCCCCCCCCCCCCCGAAAACAAAATGTTTTTCTTGCAATTTGGAAAAAAAATGTTTTCAACCGCAACGTGGGGCTGAATAACCGATGTGCCCACTTTTCAGCCTTTCTATCGCTTGCCTTGGTTCTACTTCTATAGTAACTTTCGACATTTCTTGAATATTTATGTATGCTATGACTCCGTGAGTTATTTTGGTAAAGGATCGAAAGGCATGTGACGGCAAAAGGGCTCTGGGACGTTGCATTTTTACGTACTTCCCTCCGGCATTCCGTTTGGCCCACTGCAGTCAATCATTTGACTCTTCATCGTGTTTTGACGAAAATACCTTTAAAGATACCATCTACACTCGCTAACCTCAGACAGATGTGGATATAAGCAATTCATGTTTGTAAAACCTCTGCGAGACGAACTGTACCTCTGAATGCTTGGCAAACCCAGCAGGAGAGTAATTGCCATTTTAAGCACATTCTTTAAAACGTTTACACGGAATCTGTTCAAGGGCTTGGATCACCGTAAAAAGCGGGAATAAAAGCTATCGAAACCGCCACAAAAACATGATGGACGAAATTCAGGAGAAATTAACTTTCTCCTGAAATTAAATTACCTATTTTTTTATAATTATAATCTCCTGAAATGACAACAAAGATGCAAAGAAATGTTGATAGGAGAGAAAGCAATCCCGAACATCACCTGACGAGAATCGAACCCAAGACACGAAAATTTCAAACCATATACACTCAACCATCGCGCCGAGAAGAGACTTCTGAAAACGAATCCGTCACGTCGCTACAACTTTTTTTTTTGTTTACTGATGTTGCACAACAATATAGACTCATAAGAGGTGCTACGTGAAGAAAGGCTCCTCGTCTCTCACGCGCTGGGAAGAAAGAACATTGGAGCTCAGTTCCGTCTTCCTCGGCGTCTGGCTTCCCGCCCGGCGACTTTGCCACGCGCTATTTGAGCAATTGTTTGTTATTATTGCAAAGGACAGACCGCATAGGGCAATTTACAATAGGAATGCACTGCAGGTTCTTGCAGGGCAGCAAGCCAAGAGTTGGAAAAGTGTGAGTAATCTCCTGACAATATCACATGACAGTCTCGCGTTATTTGATGTCACGGAAAGTTTTCAAAAAAGCCGCAGAAGTGTGGGGAAGCTAGCAAATCCAACGTGTTCAGGGATACCGACTTCACCCGCAGGATCAAGGTAAATCAAGCATATCCGTTTCTAGTAGGAATTTAGGCATTCGCATGCAGCGACAAATGCGCTATAGCAAGAGGGGCATGCTTCGTGTAGAACTTGACAAAAATGATGGTGCATGTCTCAGCTAAGATATGAAGACGCCGAGTTTATTTTTGTTTCAATTAAATTTACACTTTCCGTGGCATAGGACATAGACATTAACACGAACTTCGCTTCAGGGTGGCCAGATGGAACCGCAAAGTTTCAGAGCCGTGATTAAAATTTTGAAATTTAATGGTAGGGCATAAAAGAAATGAAGTTTGGGTTTTTGACTTACCCCGCCAACATTGCTGCATGGTTCTCTGTTTGTTAGCTGTAGTAAAGAAGACCCTCCACCATGTTTCCAGACATGACCGAGGTAGCAGAAAACGTAGCAGTGAGATAAGTCAACTGAAGTCTAGAAAGAAAAATGTTCCTTAGCTTACAAAGGACACAATATATGAAATCGAATGTTTAGTGTTTCTTAAATTGTTGTTTCTTATACTCACAATATCCCTCGTGTAGTGATGGTGGTAACAAAGCTCCTTCAATGTTTCGAGGAATTCTCCTTTATTCCCGACGAAGCTTGGAAGGTCTTCCGCTTTCACCGCACCGTTTACCACGTCAGCTGGAACAACAATGGTAAAGCTGTCTGGTGCATTTAATAAGAATTACGCCTCAGAACCACGGTAGTCAATCAGAATCAGTGAGTGAGAACATTATCGGCTGAATCGAGTGGTATACTAAGCACATTTCCAATCTGCATAGGTACTTGATGACGGTAGCAAATATATCGTGTTTGAAACGCCGAAAAGGCTTGTGTGCTATCCACTTTTTCGTCCGTTGTCTCCGGCTTTTTTTTTTTTTTTTTTGACTCTATCCTCGTTCTTCGACTCTATCCTAAAAAAAAAAATGTGTAACATCAACCAGCTCACCTGCCTACCTACTCACTCTATCCTCGTTTTAAAGACAGCCGTAAAAATCGGCGACTACGCGTAGCAATTTAGACCTTTCATCAAAGGCCTATTTCACCTGTGGATTTGATCTCGTAAAATTCCAGGGCGTATATCTTTTTCTGTAAAGGATAGAGCCTAAAAACTTCCCAGGGTCAACGGTGGACGGCGACGCAAACGACCGAGCCGAGTGGCGGGGTGCGTTTGGCGCGCGAATTGATGGATGCGTCGGAAGCAGCGTGAAAGATGCAGCCGACCAGCTAAAGAAAGCAGGTAACATGCAGACGACATCCGTCGGTACTAAGTGCGCCATCGTTATGCAACCATGTTTTTTTGTTGTTTTTTTTTACTTGAAGTTTTGAGATCGTTGCTCGACTTTATTTTGAAATCAAAGGTGCATTACAAAGAGATTATGTTCATTTCAATACACCACGGTATTCGCCGGCAGTCTGAATATATATTTTTAAAGCAATCCGGAACCAGAGCCGTTTATGTAGAACTTGGTCATTATGTTGTGAGAATGGGGCGAAAATAAGGGAACGCCATTGGCTGAAATTGTTTCAGTGACTTTGGTGTGATGATTGACAGCTTTTGTGACCAACCACAAGCCACAAATATTTTCCTAGTGGAGGCAATGAGCTTAACAAATACCCTCCAATCACAATTTCCAGCTAAGGATGTATTCAAGTATTTTATTTAGGCACGCCAGAGCTAAATTCGCGACTCTTCGTAACTGAAAAGGCAACGCATGTAACTGTGTCGTCGCGGCGACATTCAGAACGCACTCAAATCTTTCTTTTGATTGCTGTAAGAAAAGTTTATTTACATATTTACAAACTGAGTGGCGCGCAGGCCACACCGAGAGACCCTACATTATGCTTATCTAAACATGGATGCGGGGCGCCCCTAGCATGACCCAGCTCTACTCACTATGAAAAACCTATAATGCCGTCGTCGCAGGAATTCCTGCTCTCCGAGAGTCCACAGTTCATTCTCTCAGTAGTCCACTATCTACTCGTGACACATGGGAAGTATTGGGAACAGGGGTATCAAACGGGGACGCTGAATATTGGCCCTACATCTGTACTTCCACAGGACTCGGCGTACTAGTATCACAACCAGTTTCTCAAAGCGATTGTGTGTACGCCTTTGGAAATGGGCGCGCATCTCAAACAGTTCAGACACAAGAGTGAAGAACGTACACGCGACTACACAAAGTGGTGAAAACATGCTTATTTGTCTCTGGCCAAGTACAGTGGGGAAGATGCCTGTCGCGGTAACGCCCCAATGTTACAACCTATCCCTGGTGGACAGCATTCCATACTCATACTTCCAGCCAGTGTCGGCAGCGTCGGCTGGTACGTCTGCGGTAAACATGCGATCACAAATTACGTGGGAACTTCTTGTTTGGTGTAGGAAAAATAGGTCGGCCGCACAAAGTGTTTCTCACATTAACGACGCGGAACTCTCCTGAACGTATACAGTGGGACACTTTTCAGTCAACCGACGCTATTATCGCGGCGACAGAAACATAATAAAAAGAGGGAGTCTCCCCGGCAGGACACAGGTCGCCAAGCACCTGGTCGCGTCAGACGTCACAGGTGCCGTCAGACGTGACGTCACAAGGGTAAGTTTAGCGGAAACATTTTCCGCCAGGATTAGGGGAAAAATTTCCCCGCCAAATTTAGCGGCAATATTAACGTTGCGCATGACGTTACACGTAACGTCATGCGACGTCACACGTAACGTCACGTGATGTCATACATTACGCGTTTCCTATAATGATGTCACACGTGACGTCACACGTGACGGTAACGTCGTGACGTTACCCTCGTGACCCTCACGAGGGTCACGATGGTAACACTCGTGATCCTCGGGAAGGCAACCTACGGGACTTTCGTGAGGGTAACCCTCGTGGCCCCCGTGAGGGTAATCCTCGTAACCCTCGTGAGGGTAACACTCCGAGACTCTCGTGAGTGTAACCCTCGTGACCCTTGTGACCCTAGTGAGGTTAAGCCTCACTGATCTCTATAACAATAGACCGATCTCACCAGCCTGTTTGGCTACGCCACCGCTGCCGCAATGCATCGAGGGAGCGTTAGTCTTTCTGCATGTGCGACAACCTCGCAGGAGCTCTGTTCGTAGTCAGCGCGAGACAGCACGAGCCTTGTCTTGCACTGCTGCTTGTCTCCTGCGAACTAAAGTTATGGCGGCGTAACGCATGATCGGTCCATTGCTAGATCGCGTTTGCCCGCTCCGCGAATGAACCCACTGGCGGCAATCTTTTTGGTAGAGTTATACCTCTAGCCAAGGTACAGCTGCTGCAGCCTGTATCATCCATCCATGGCACACAGCTTTGTGGCAGTTGTGGTGGCAGGCTGATATCAGAATAGCGTAGGGGATAATTTGTGCTTGATTAAAATTCTTTGACAAAACATATTTTTGAAACCCGGCATGAACGGTAGCCGGATCTTTGAGGAGCCGGTGAAAGTTTCACAAAATCACGGCACCGAGGAAAAGCAGCACAGCACGCATCGAAATTCGCATCGAAAGAAGCGCCAAAGCAAACGCCGGTACGGTGTCTGCTGTCAATGCGTGCTGGGCTGCTTTCCCCCGGTGCTGCGCTTTCGTAGAACTTTTGCCGGGTCCTCAAAGATAAGGCTACCGTTCACGCCGTGTTTCAAGAATCTGCTTCGTCGAGCAACTTCAATCAGGCATGAAATATCACCCACGGTACAGTGTACTGGATCCACGGCTATTTTTTGGCAGCCTGCTCCCGCAGTCGCCATTGCGTTGTCCGCCATATTACTATGATGGCTAGAGATAATATAACTCTATAACAAGATGGCCGACCGTAGCCGTATTCCCGTCTATAGGCGGAGCTGGTCAAGCGCGATCCAGCGAATAGACATAGAGAGCAGTGGTAAGCCTTGTAAGCCTCGTGAGGGTAACCCTTGCAAACCTCACAAGGGTAACCGTCGTGACGTTACACGTGACGTTACGTGTGACGTGATTATGGGAAACGTCCTATAATGCAACGCGCGGTTGCTCCCAAACCGACGCCGACGCCGTCGCTCATGCAGGAAGCAAGCGCCTAAGAGCTGCGCTATAAAACGGACAGCCGAACAGTAACTTTCAGTTGATATGACGGTGAAGTGTTGATTGATGCTATTTGATGTGTCCCGCATGGACAGGCCTTTCGACTACGTCGAAATGCAGTAGCACTGCTTGTCCTCTATGAAGGATTCTTTATATAACCCCAGCCAAACGTCGTTCTCTTCCCTCCGGTGTACTCATTGTATTGCTGTTTCTGTTCAGACTATGGGCAGGAGATTCAACTGTCGCGTCCCTACCGGCTGAGCACAACACTGCACACGAGGAGCGCAACACCGCACACGAGGACTGCACACGAGGAAGCGCAACGTTTCGTAAAATAAAAACACATTTCTAGATATATACTTTTTAAACAGGGCCACGGAGTGTATTTCTTCCTAAAAACGAAGAGTCGCGTGCTTGTGTTGAAGCAATGTGCGAAGTGAAAATCGAGATAAATTTCGTGTACGCTGACATGTTACCAAGAAGACCCAAACAAAGGAAGAAAAATATAGTATTTACCACACTGATAGGCCAGCACAAAGACCAGAAATACGCAAGCGAGTCGAGCCATATCCTCTGTATCTCGTTCTGAAGAGGCAAAAACGATATCAACAGTGAGTAAGGAAATCAGTAGAAAAACAAATATTCGGTCATTAATTTACCATTTCCATTTAAAGTATTGGTAGCATTGGTACAGGTGGTATTGTTTTGTGTGGGTGTGTGTGCGTGTCTATGCGTGAACCTGTGTAACAAATTGCAAAGTTAGCACCATTGGGTAAGCTGTTGCATAAGAGTTTCTAGTACAGTCCCTGCACGTTGAACACTTTATGGTACCATCAAAGGTGTCTTCGCGTTTTTCGTTCCTCTCTCTTGTTGGCCCAAAATAGAGAGGCGTGTAAGCGTGATCCAGAAAAAGAATATTGCCCGCTCCGTTTGGCTTCAGTCAAATTTGTGCATAATTATCTCGGTCGATTCCGTAAGGTATTTTATTTTAAATCATAGATGTTGCTAGCGGCACTCAGTACGCTGTTTCACGGTTCGGCAACACCAAGTTTGAAGCTTTTGCCAAAACTGTCTTATGCAATGCGTAAGTCAAAGAGAGGAGAAAAAAACGCGTCGCGAGTGAGTAAACCCGTTTGGAAGGAAACTCCGCACTCGCAGCAGTTCTGCGGACCGAAGTCGACGATGTATGGGCCGTAATTTCTTTATTCGTTGGAACTTGGAACCAGCGCCGTCACTAAGGTCCGCGGCACCCGAGGCGGTAGCACACCGCAACCCCTCCACCCCCCTCCCCCCTTTTTCTCTATCCTTCACCTTCCTAAAAATATAATATTTAGTCCGGGACTACTCTATAATAGGTAGTTTTAGAATAACGTACGCAATTTTAGCGCAGGCTAGGGCTAACTTTAGCGCTTGGGTTAGCACACGCTTCGCAAGAGTGTTTTAGAATAGAGTTTCTCCGCCGCGAAACAAAAGCCCAAGTGTCTCGCGGTCGCAACGCCACCAAGATACACTAAATCATTTTATTAGAAAAATCAAAGCTCTTTGTTTCAGAGTAACGTATTAGATTTGTTTAGATATAACAATGCGACGGGAGCGGTCGACCGATCGTGTCAGCTTGCGTTGCCTCGGAAAGAGAGGTTTCGTGTACTGACTTTCGCCGCCTTCGCCGAGAAACGTTCTCGCGTCGCAAGCAACAACTTGCCGGGAATCGTTGCTCACCTTGCCGAGTCTTGCGAACCGTCTGAGACGTGCACCTGACGTATAGTGCAATGTCGTCCTGCCTTAGAGCGCAGTCACGAGGATGCTGCCTATGTCGCGCTCTCGACGCCGCCAAAGCGGCCGGAGTCACGGTCAGGACAGAGCCGCAATTTTTTAACAGTGCTTTTTTTGTCTTTAGCAACTTCTTCATCACCAATCCTTCTTAAAGGAGCGCAAAGACTCTGAGCTCGCACGCAACAACTGAAAAATAGCATAGGCTAATATAGCACAAGCAACGTGCAAATCGCACGTAGCGTTCGGCTCATGCGCAATGGTGACAACGCTATTTTTTAATACTTTCATTGTATGGTGAAGCCCGTTTATCGTATTGTTAACTTAGAACTTAATTTTGGGGGATGACGTATAACGTAAATCAGTAGACACAAAATCGAGATGCAAAAATATTATGGTTAATTAAAAAAATATAATCGAATGTTCCGGCTACAACAGGGCTCCTCATGGGTGGCAGCACACACTCATTTGCTGATCTACACTCTGTTCACCAATGAGCTGAGACTACGGTGGAAGCTACGTGACCGTCGGACCAATCAGCCACCTGCCTCTAGTCACATGCCCCGGCTTTTTCTCCGCGTGGGTATGCGCGGGAGCCTGTTGACGTGGCGAAAGAGGGGTGCATGACTAGTCCAACAAGAACCAGTCTAGCGACCCGCAACATATAATTGCTCGACGGCTTTTGGATCGTTAGCAAACAATTATTTGAGAGCTACGCTTTAATAATGCCAGTATTTTGCTTTTGAGTGGCCGATGCGCACCAGCACAAAAAAAAAAAAAAGAATTAAAAGTGAAGTTTTATCATTTCCATGAAAAGAGTGACGCCACCAGCGTCACCGAGCTTAGATGATCGCAGCTAAAAAAACGGTGCTCGACTACTTCGATATACTACTGACAGATGGCGCTACGTAAGAAACGAGAAGCTGATGCAACTCGACAGACTCTCTCCCCGTATAGCGACAGGTGGCAGGCAACCTGGCCATTGGAGCACGTAGAAATCAAGGTAACACAAAACGCTTGAAAAGAAAACTTAAATATTAAAGCAAGCAAGTCAAAGCATCAGAAAATATTACATTACAGAAACTCGCGTCGCATCGGGGAAAGCGTAATAAACACTTTCGTTAGACTGTTCGCTAGGACCAAGACTCGACTCGTCGCCCCCGTAGGGTAGCTTGGTGCGTATCTTCAGCTCTTGGGGGCCCATTGACGAGGCTTTCCGTTCACGAAGTAGTTGAACGACTTTTATGTACTAACTCGTTTACATGTATATGGGCAAGGTGACTCGAACAGGTAGTAGTTTAAGATGCGCCCACAATGCCTAGAGACATTCGTTATTTCTTTGAGGAGTAATCGGTAATTATTTTCATCAAGGCGATCAGGAAGCCGAGTAAATCCAGTGTAAGTAAATTCTGAACGTGCCATGTGTTTCCTCGGCATTTAAACTTTTAAAGTACGCGCTACTCCCCATTGCGGGTGCTCAAAAATATGTAAAAACCATGGTCAACCAGAAGCAATCTACTAATCCGCAAGTTTGGCCATGTGTGTTTTTGTTTACCACTGAACACTTTGTATATCGAAACTAACACCACATTAATAAAGAACGCAGGTTAATCACTATAACATGTAAAAATAGCATTCAGTTATCCTAAATATATATATATATATAAATGACATCTTCAAGTTGTGGGGAGCGGAGGCGGTCGCATATAAGTAAAAAAAAGCCACCGAGGTCCAAACAAACTTGGATAGTTTAATCGGGCGTTTCGGAGGGGGACCCTCCTTCTTCAAGCGTGACATAAAAGTTAATAGGGTTACCTGGTGGCCGAGATTCTCACTCGGAGAGGGAGAGGAGAAAGCTGTACATGAGAGGGGACGACAGAAGGCACAACATAACAACACAAATGCCCCAAAAAGACACGGCAACAGCAATTATATTTGAAGTTAAGATTTACGACAGGCGGAACACAACGGTGTCCCCAGCCCCGAAAAACCTCCCCCGATGACGGAACCGCGAAGGCAGGGCCCCAAGGGCAAGAAGCCACACGCGGCCGGCAGAGCGAGTCATCTGGAGCCGACACCCGTTCGCCCCGCCACAGGCGAGTCGCGCACACTTGGTCCAATGCCCGTCCGACTCCGACACCGGACCAGAAGCGCCAAAGGGCGCCGCTCACAATACATCTGCTAGACAAAGAGCGAGAGGGGAGCTGAGAGGGGGGGGGGGATTGGAAGGGGCGGCAATTTGGCCGTTCACATGAGCTGTACGCTACTCGGTCTCCCCGGGCTCCCATTAATGCCACACTTGACCGCGTCAAATTCGTATAGACCTTTTCATCCTCCCCCGCATGGGCGCTGCCATCTTGGAATCACGTGACGCGGCAGCCATTTGGTTGCTTGAAGTTGCTGCTCCGCTCTCCCCTCCGCGCCTTGGCGAATGTATTGTATTCGTGTTTTTCATCGCGTTTCACCGCGCTTGCTTGCCTTACTTCGGACACTGTTGTCCGATACGTCTACTCGACGACTCCTGAGGTTTGTTTACTAATAGTGGAGGAAGATTCTCAGTAAGAAGCGCGCATGTTTGCATCGCGCATCTAGGATCGCAAGGCGTGAAGAATACTCAGCACAAGGAGACTATTTGTATTCCCTGAAAGTATAGTTTTTTTTATTCATATTATATTGAAAACAGTTTCTTTTGTTTATGTGAGGAAACTCGCGGAGAAGATAGACAACGAACGTTGAACTTGTATTTTATCAAGGGCTAAAAGTAATGGTAGGTCAACACCAAGCGATTTGTTTGTTCATAATATCACACCTATATGTGCATGAGGTTCTCAATCTTTTTCTTTGCGACGTAGACATACGGTTGGTCGGTTTACTTACGAAGTTTAAGAAATTGTATACCATGCTCGCTTCCATAAAGCGAATTTGTTCTAAGAAATAAATATTTGTTCACACAGGTCCGTGAAGTGGTGCCTAGCGCTAGAATTCAGCAAAACTTTCCGATGTATTTCTCCTCCTGCGCCCTTTAATTTTATTTAGCTAATATTACAGTAGAAAATGCCAGATTTAACTTGACGGGCCTGTCACTTATATCATATCCTGAGTAAGTGAGTGTTCATATAAAAAAAAATGTATTTCCTAGGGCAAATATCGCGCAATGCTGCTTATGAGTACTAAAAAACGAGGCCGAGACGATATTATTTTTATATCAATTATCTGCGTCATTACACGATACGTTTTTATTCTGCGAAGTTCACTAAAAGTTGGGTGCGCACGAAAACCAAACAGTGAGTTGTAAACTCGCGAGTTCATCTGTTCTGGTCGATACAGAACATTGCTAATCAAGCTGTCGATATGCTTCCCCCCTTTACATTCACATGTTACTATCTTGATTAGTGTGTTTTTCTGGAAACTGTTGTCATCTTGTAATGCCATACACGATGGTATTCTTCCCTGTACATCAGTCAGGCCTTTCGCAACCGACCATAATCAGATACATCAAAGGAGTTGGTAAAAAAAGCCCACAATTTAAGCTAAACAACACCTCGTAGTCACCAAAGTGGCTCAATACTACTGTTTTAGTGGCTGTGTGCTACCAGGAAAATAATCGTATCACAAAATTAAGCAAAAACAACGCAAAACAGCAACATACCCGCGTTCACGTTGAAACCGAAACCAACCAAATTGAAGCAACCTAATGGCGCCGAGTGCGTCAGCGCCCTCTGTCCGCCGGTGAGGCAACTACTAAACTGAAAAGGTCTATAGACCTTTCCAACAAACGCCTTCTGCGAGCTGCCATCT